AACCGAACAAGAAAAATTAAAACAACAACGTCTTGCAACTCGAGAAAAGATTAAAGAAATAGGTCAAGATTTCTGGGATAGGAAAAAAGAAATTTATGATGCTACTTTAATTAATTGTTCAGAAGTTCATACAGAATTACAAGATTGTTTTAAAAAAGGAAAACTTTGGGATAGACTTACTCTTTGTACTAATATGAGAGATAAATTTTGGAGTTGTATGGATCAACAAAAGGTTCGCATTCAATAAATTAATCAAGAAATTTCATCATTTAATTTATATATATTCTAATGAACATTATTGTCGATGGTTATTATAGAAACTTTTAAATGATATGGGATACGGATCGCCATTAAAAACAGAAGCAGAAAACGAAGAAATTTTACATAAAGCAGATATTCATTATCGACAAACGAACGATAAAGATAAAGATAAGGCTACCTGATGAGGCACATTATAATGAAAAACAAATTTGTAATAAATCTTATAAATGTCATTAACATATAATTTAGTTTATCATATCTTTTTTTGCTATATGAATAAATTGCTAAAATAAAGTAAAAAGTTCTAGTCATATATTTACAATCTCCTAGCCTTCCTTGGCCTACACCCACCAAATGGCAATGGAGTGGAATCGGTAATTCTCTTAATAGTCCAAGGATTCTCTGGTGATGCGATAGCTTTAAAAGCAGCATCCCTTCCAGGACCAAATCCTTTTATTAAAACCTCCACATTCTTAATTTTAATTCCCTTTTCTTTAACTTTTTCAACTAAAGCAATGGCAGCTTGATGAGCAGCCTCATAACCACCCCGTTGAGCTTTTTTAAAACCAACAAGTCCACCAGAAGAATTAATTAATACGTCTTTACGAGAATTTGCTAATGATACTATAGTATTATTGTAAGAAGCACGAATATGAATTCGATAAAGTTCTTCTGATGGTACCAAAAAGTCGGATAGTAGTTTTGCTACATCAGAACCAGAAGTTCTTTGAGTAGTATCAGATTTCTTGGATGTAAATTTTGATAGTAAAAGATTAGGAGATGAAGAACTTGAATCAGTTTCATTAGATTCTTTTACGTTCATTAACCCATTATCTTTTTGTTTATTTGCATAATTTAAAAGAAAAGAATCAATTCCTTCATTATCATTTGTGGTGGTTTTTGAACCAATACGATTTCTACCACTTTTTTCAAAGGGAGAAACAGAAGAAGTGTAATTATTTGATATTCGTTGTTGAGAAAAAGTAGAAAAAGTAAAAATTTGAAATGATTGTCTACGGGGAATAATATTTATAACGTTTAGAAACTTGTGTGAAAACATTTTCGAATCAACGTTAGATTTTTGCGAGATAGACTGATAAATCGCGTATATGTCACGTGATGATTTTACATCGATTATCTACTTTTTTTTTAACGTATACAAAGTATGTATATTATACGTAAATATGCAAGTTTTGCAATCGCATAAACCTGTAAACACAGAATAAATTACTTTACACAAAAGAACCAATAAAGTTACTTAATTTTTTACATTCAATATAAATTTTTAGAATTTCGATATACTGTAATCATTTAATATTGATTTAATATTGGTGGATAATTGTCTCATTGAAATTAATTATCTTCTTTTTTAATAAATATGGGTTAATGGGTTTATTAAGTTCGCAATGAAAAAAATAGATACATGATCTAATCATCAAAAAGTCAATGATTTAAACCCATTGTATTAATATCAATAAGTAAAATGCGTGAAGTTTGTGAATTTGGTAAAACAAAATAATTTCCCTTAATATATATATATATATAAAAACAAACCTTTGTTATGCCATTTGAAATCTTAACTCATAAACCGAATTGGAAATAGGATTTTATCCTAAACATTAATATACAAAAGATATTTTACAATTCACTGATAGAACTAATAACACCTTCATATTCTGCCTTAAGTTTGTTGCGTTCCTCGATTAATTCTTCAATTTTCTTCTCTTTCTCTGCCACTTCATTTTCAAGCTGTGCGACTTTACGTTCAAGAGTTTCGCATTTAAGTTCAGACTCACGAAACCTAAATTTTTCATGAATAATAAAGAATAGATTAAATATTTTCGATAGATCATCATAAATTTTTATGATCTCTGGTTGAAAAGTTCCCAAATTTTATTCCAAGATTCCTGATTATGTATAAATCATTAACTTACTTCTCCGTAGTTTCCTTCAAGTTCTTTTCGGTCTCATCTAAATCATTTTCTAATGCTCCTACTTTTTTTTGACAATTGCCAAATTCAATTTCTTTAGAGGATTGTTCTTCTTGATTTTTTTTAAGCTCTTGTTCTGCCTTTTCAGCGCGTTCAAGTGCTGCTTCGAGATCAGCTTTGAGGGCATTGACTCTCTATTATTAAAAAAAAAATTTAAAATGAATATGATTTTATCATAATGATTCATTTTCAATTTTGGACACGCGAATATATTCACTACTATACTATAGTACGGTACCCTCAGTCGACCAAGTACTAAAAATGTTGCAGGGTGGTTGTCCCAACTTCTACTTATTACTCATTATTATTATTATATTAACAATACATAGGAAGATAGTAAGTTTTACATAAGTCCGGGTATTTTCATAATAAAGCCAAGCGAATATTCTTGACTAACTCTACGCAAACTCCTGCATATTAAAACGTGCAACAGATAAAATATGGTACATTTCTAACCCACCTCTTTAACTTTTTCCATATTGAATATTTTGAAATATGTAAAGCTTAAAGCAGAGACAAATGTGTTTCAACTCTGGAAAGTATTTAATATTGTAGAGGCTGAAAAATAATAGCGGAGAAGAAAAACCGTTTGTTTAAATAGTTTTTTTTTTTTAAGTATATACATATAAATCTCTCTTTGTAACACTATGTCTCTTTGTAACACTATGATAGCTAAGATTCTGCGCATTAAACTACATTTTTATTACCGTAAATGAACTACTACGTATTGTTGTTATAAAATCTCAGATTACTAAAAAGTCAATTTTTGAGTAGACTATTCACAATATGATATCAACAACTTTATAATGACGTTTTCTTTCATATTATATAGTAATCTTTCATTTTTCATTGATCAATGTAACTATATCAAAAAAAAAAAAAGGTACTTTCGATATACAGTAGTTATTTGTGCTTTATTTACATCATTAACGTGGTTGTACTGAGGGTTACATGTGACCATAACGCCATTAGTGATCATAGGATAGGTTCTCTTTTTGATTAACATGCAGATATGATTGACTCTGGATCAACTTAAGCTAGTACATGTGATTGCCTACATAGATCCACGCATATTATTAACCAATCAGGTCATAATTTTAACAAATTAGTACATGAAGGTTCGTCACGTATTCGTTTTACAAAAATCTTTGACGAATTTTTCGATAAATCAATCCGGTAAATAAATATCAATGAGCTTCTACTACCGAATTCTGGTAATTTTGATTACTTAGTTTTCGATAAAATATAGTAGCAACGCTAGTAATAATCACCAGTAATAATAAATAGCAAACTTTTAATTAAACAGTCTTGTTAATTATATATAAAATTACAAAATCTTTAACAAATTCAATAGATTTACTTATATGTATAATAAAAGACAATGATTTTAAACAAATTAAGGTTGAACTGGTTGAACTTGGGTGCTTTAAGTAAAAATATATATTTAGAACTTTCAAAAATTTTATTAGCTATAAAACATGTTTTTTAAATTTTAATTAAATATATAAAATAAGATAACTTTAATTAAAAAAATTTATATAAAATATAATTTTAAATACAAACCTTATATACTTTAGTATTTTATAATTCTTGGTTTAAAGCTATCAAGCTAAATATCAAGTACAGTTAACTCTTTTTAAGTGCATGTTCTCTAAGTGTAGGCTTTTTCTATTTGTATAAAAATAGTCTGGTTTTATATTAGAACTTATAAAATAAGTACATATTTTATATTCTTTAAATTTGGGATTTTTATTTTTTTTTTTTAGCTCTTTAATAGTTTTGCTAGAGCTCAAATACAATACTTTATTTAAACAAACTTGGACAGAATAAATAATTACAGTATAACAATTGTGAGTTTGACATTACCCAGCTGTATCTAGTGTGCCCAAGAGCAACTTGTCACACCAACCTACATGTAAGTTAGAAGACCTTGTTAGCCTGCCAAGAGCCTATTTCTTTATTCTTACTTTCTTTAGCAAGAACAAAAGAAAAAAATATTCTGTATTCTTAATACTAGAATATACATCAAAAAGAAAAAGAGTTCATATACAAAAAAGAAACAAAACAAGAAAAAGAAAATAATAAGAAATAAAAATAGGAGAAACAGAAAATGATTTAGATGAAACCGAACAAGAAAAATTAAAACAACAACGTCTTGCAACTCGAGAAAAGATTAAAGAAATAGGTCAAGATTTCTGGG